TATTGCTATCGTACATTTTTTTTTAATATATATATATATATATATATATATATATATATATATATATAAAGAAATATAGTCTTAAGGTGTGCTATATTTATGGAATAAAGTGCTCAATATCAGAGATAGAGCGTGTGTAAATATAAAAGTGAACATAGAAGTCAACACTTAGAGTCTGTTTCATGCTATATGCAATCGTCAGGCCAAATATGCTGTTATTTTTCTCGGCTATTTATATATATATATATATACGGGTTAGTGGTGCATTGTGGGTATTCTATTATGGCGGTTATTTTACCGGAAGTCGTTTGTTCATTTATTTGTGTCAAATTATATTGCTCGTTTTTATTTTTGTTTCTTATTTTATTTATTTATTTATTTATTAACGTAGTAAAAATTTGTTTATATCACTTATTTAACAGTTTTGTTTTGGTTTTAGAATTTAATTAAAGCTATTTGTTCAATTTTGGGGTTGGTTGTTGTAGTTCATTCTAACTATTATTTATTATAAAAGAATTCGAACTTGTCTCATCTCAACACATATTCATTTTCTTGTCTCTAAATTACTGTGATTCCCACGGAAAGATAGTCGTCTGTTTTCCCGCTGCTTTTTTTACGGATATGAATTGAAGCTACGTTTTCTTCTACACATGGCCACTCTACCCTGATATTTAGTTTATAGATTGTGTTGGGGTGTGGATAACCCTATATGCCTTTCCCAAGGATTTGAAAGTATCCTTAGATTAAAAAAAAATCATTACCCTCAATGATAACAGATATATTCCGTTTGGAATTAGGATTTTACTTTATATTGAAAATCATTTTCTTCCTTATTTGCAGCGCTAAATCTTTTTTTTTTAAATGAAACTTAATGTTTCAAAATCCGATGCTAAATACTCAATTTGTTACTGACGAAATTATTCTGTTCTTTTCAGTAATGAACATATTTAAAGGAAGCTTAATGGAGTCGTAGAACTGAGATTAAGTTTAAGATCCGGCTTTTTCCGTTCCTTCCGTGATAATGCCCTTGAAAAAACGTGAATTCATCTCATCTCTTTCAACTCATGCTCTTCCCTAGAAGAAAGCGTAACGGATTTCGAATTCCATCAAAGCAGGAAAGTTAGGATTGTGCGGATATAGTCCTGATAGAGCAAGCATAATCTTCTTTGGTCTAATCTGACTCTTGTAAAAATAAAACATGGTAGGAGAAATTAGGTACTTCCTGGGGCGACAATAATGAGTTAACCATTTTCCGACATCTTTAAAAATGAATTTAATATATGAGTTCCTCTTAAGGTCCTGAATCATTGAAAGTCGAACCGTTTATCGCCATTTTTGTAAGATTATTCATCGATATGTACACGTCGATTTATATACTTTCGTCGATATATACATATATGTTAAATAGGATAAATACACGAATAAGGTTTCCCTAATAATAAAAAAAATGAAATATATAAAATCTTGTCATTTCTAATTAAATTTGTCGTCAGAAACAATACTCAAATCATGCAGATAGAATCAAATGGTTTTCTGGCCTGTTAGGAGAGTTAATTTTCTGGATTAAAAACGAAAAGACAAATAGGATAGACTTCTCAGCCAGCAGGCCCTTTTTTTTTTTTTTTGTTTTTTTTTTTTTTTTTTTTTTTATTAATGGCCAGGCGTCTGAATCAGCCCTTCCTCAAGGCATACCCTTTTTCTCCTTCAAATTAACGATCTGCCTAAAAACGTTGACAGGTAGGTATTAAATATCTATATGGTTTATACCAATGTTTATGTGTGCGTTGGAACGAAAGAACATTTATTCGAACTGCTGCTTTGGGGATTATTCTTGAGAGAGATTATTTCCCCGGTCACTAAAATCTTAACCTTTTCAAATCTTTATCACCCGTTATCAATCCTTCATATGCTTATAATCTGCCCTTCTTACTTCTTCGTTTTATGCACATCAAAGAAATATATTTCAGTTACCCTCTACCTTCAGTGGTTTTAGGGCCTTGTTTAGAATGAACTATTGCGTAAACAAAAAGGCTGATTTATCAAGCTTTGGTGACAACTCCACTAGTAGAAGGTCAAATCTGCGTTCAAGAAAATGGTAAAGGAAGCAAAAAGGACACCCTCTCAAAAAGCTTTTGAAATTCACTGAACTTAGCAATAAACCGCGTCAATTTCTTTTTATCAAATATGACGACTGCAATTGCTGAGCAGCAAGAACTCTATCTAGAGTATCTACATAAGCTTAAATTTGTCTGGAATGCAGTGAGGCTAAAAGGGAGTTTTACAAGCAAGAAATGCAAGAGAAGTTACTGTTAGCATAGAACTTACGACTACATCTAGCCAGTTCAACTGTAAACTGACGAAATATTGTCGGCAGTCTAGTGTTGCGCTTAAATTTTTAAAAATCTAGGTACCATAGCGAAGAGCTCATTCGAACAATTACCATGAAAGTATTTAGAGAAAAGACATAGAGAGACTACCTTACGGAGATGGGAAAGTGATTGTAGCTGAGCCACCAGATAAGCACCAATAATATTGCAGATTTTTCTTTGGACCTTATCAAAGAACTGAAAGTAAATAGCAGGGGTATCGAGCCATATGTGGCAGCAATATTCTAAGCATGGAAGAATGGTAGACAGTTATTGATCGGCTCGTTTGTACTGACTTCAAGTGAGCATTGTCCCGCCGAGAGACTGAATACACAATTACTATGCCACCGAATTGACAAACTAAGTGTTTAATGCATTAAACTATTTCCGGTGGGACAATCCAGAGTTTATAACGCTCAGACTTAGAAGCAAGCTGCCTGCTGACGCGTGGTTCTGCTCCCGCTTTTCACATTTGTGTGCACCCGCCGAGGCGTCACTTTTCTTCTCCGGCTGCTGCTTGCTGAGCAATCCTTACTGTTGTTTCTGTATCTTTCTTTCTTTTTTTCTTTGTTTCATTCTTAAAGGATCTCATAAAAGATATATTTCTAATGCGGACCTATTGAAAATACCCTCACAGCCTAGCAGATTCCCTGAATATTTTATACGATACATGCTCTAGTCTTCCTTCTTTAATATTTTTTTTTTATTTCAAAGGATTTGATGATAACATTTTTTTTATTCTATATATGGTCAGCTATATCTGATTTAATTGTTTCACAACATAATTATGGATTTTCGATGATTCTCCAACCTCACATTCATTCAATGTGTTTTATTCTGTGAACATACTGAAGGGAAGATAATATGTTTAAAACAAGAACGTACAGATTTAATGAAGACTGGAAAAAGCCGCGAAAATTCAGCGGTTTTCCTATTCCAATTTTCTGATGAAGGTTTATTCTTCAGTTAATGATTAAATAAGTTCAGGGCGAGTTCTATTACAATAAAATATCCGCAGAAACTACCCTATCGCATCGTTAAATATTTGAGCTTAATATCTTTAACAAAATATTGCAATGGCAATCATAAATAGGAATGATGGTCGTTATTTTAAGAAGTGGGTACAAATAGAAAGATTTATAATTAACAACTTTTTTCTACTTCACTGAAACAGTGGTTAAACATTACTATCTATCTATCTATCTATCTATCTATCTATCTATATATATATATATATATATATATATATAAAAAGTGAACATAGAAGTCAACACATTAGGCGACAGTCTGTTTCATGCTATATGCAATCGTCAGGCAGTCGTGGCCTGACGATTGCATATTATTATATTTACACACGCTCTATCTCTTATATTGAGCATTTTATCCCGTAAATATAGCACATTTAAAGACTATATATATATATATATATATATATATATATATATATATATATATATATATATATATATCTTCTTTTGTCTTTCATTTTACCAATGAAATCACGTTGCGTATGACTTTTGTTTTTCTAGACAATCAAAACGGAACAGTTTATTATTTATCAGGTTTTGGCGATAAATACTTCTTTCTTTCTAATTTTCTAATTTTCTTTTTTCTTTCTTTCTTTCTTTCTTTCTTTCTTTCTAGCCAAATCCCCTTTTTACCAACATTTGTCTTAATAATAATTTTAAAATAATTCAGGAGACGATGTTATTATTTTTTTTTTTATGGTTACTGGATTTGGGGCGATTTCCTTACTCGGTTTCCGTTGTCCGCTACTCTGAGTTTAAAAAAAATGACACATTTTATCGCAGTCGACAAGATTTCGACAACCAAAAGCTAAATGACGTTGCCACTATCGTTTTGTGATTAACACCCTCCCCCTTTCGCGATCGTGATGGAAGCGATCCCGCGGTCTGTAAGCGGGAGACGATGGAGTAGGAGACAGTATAAGATCTCTTCTCGCTGCGACGTTCCGTTTTCCTTCTCGGCTTTTTCGGCTAAGATCAAAGTAGTATCTGTTCTTAAAAGCTTAATCGGATTCACTTTCCCTCTTTCTCTCTTTCCCTACTTTTACATTTGTTCTTTCTTTCTTTTATTTCATTCATTTTCTCTCTGAAACCAAGTAGTGTTTCTTTCCACGCGACAAAAACGAATTAGTTCATTATTTCTGAAGCACTGACAGGGCGAAGGGAGAGTCAATACGATATTTATTAAAGGAAGAACTGGAAAACGAAATGAAAGACTGGGAATTTGGGAGAAGATTCAGCCTTGACCGAATGCAGTTGACTGATGATCATGATGATAGTGATGATGGTGGTAGAGGAGGTTTTAATGGTGATGCTGCTACTGATAATGATGATGAAGTTGACAGGATATGGATTAAAAAATTTTAAAAAAAATGACTATATTCCGATTTCAAATTCAGATTGCAGTAAGATAAAGTTTAATAAATAATTAATTCTTCACTTACACCAGAATTTGCACATTCTCCATCCATTCATTTTTCCTCTCAGTCTTTCTCTCTTTCTTTCTTTTTACCTCTTTTTCTCTCTTTTTCTCTTTCTCTCTCAGTCTCTCTGTATCTCTTTCTCTGCGTACATTTTAAAAAGAACGAAAGATTCATTTTTTTATAAATTCTGCCCATGAGGTCAATGGTTGTATAAAAAAGACAAGATTTTTCTTTTAAATACAAAAGTTTTTTTTTAAAGTCTACACAGCAACGTATAATGTATATATATATATATATATATATATATATATATATATATATATATATATATATATATATATGAATATTCATATATATATATATATATATATATATATATATGAATGTATATATATATATATATACACAAAAATATACACACACACACACATATATATATATATATGAATATATATATATATATATATATATATATATATATATATATAACATGTATATGTGTATACATACATACACAAACATACACACACACACACACACACATATATATATATATATATATATATATATATGAATCTGCATATATATATATATATATATGAATATATATATATAAACATGTATATGTGTGTATACATACATACAAAACATATATATATATATATATAAATATGTTTATATATATATGTATATATATATAAACATGTATATATGTGTGTATACATACATACACACACATACACACAAACACACACACACACACATATATATATATATATATATATATATATATATATATATATATATATATATATATATTATAGACACGTATGTCTGTTTTCGTTGTTTTTGTTTTATTTCCTGTGGAGAAAATTGTGGCTCTCAAATAGTTTTGATAATGTTGGTTGTGGTTGGAAGGTGGAAATGGAAGCCGCGCGCTCGTGTCGCACGTCAAGGTAAATGACACATTTCACGTCAATTATGTTCCTTCTACTCACCACGAAGGAAACAGACTTTTTTTTTTTCCCGTGAAGAACTTTTCTCTTCCTACCATTATAATTTTACATGTAAAAAAGCAAACAAAGGATTTCTCCATAAAATCATCTTCGTTAGAGTAAAAGCTTTAGATTAGAAGGTATGTCTCTATATGTCTACGTAGATAGTAAAGAGATAGATATAAATAAATAGCTAAAGACTGAAGCAGAAAGATTAAAGAGTAAAAGTGGATTAGATACTTGTGACAGATTTAAAACAAAGTAATATATATATATCGACAAAAAGAAATCAAGGAACAAATAGCGGTGTATATATATATATATATATATATATATATATATATATATATATATATATATGTAAGTATTTATATAGCAAGATAGAAAATTACTGAGGTGTGAGATAGATAGACACAGACACACACATACACATTCACAAGGATAGATAGATGATAGATAGATAGATAGATAGATAGATGATAGATATGAATACGCTTGGTTAGTAAGATAGATAGAATAGATAAGAATAGATAGATAGATAGATAGATAGATATGAATACGCTTGGTTAGATAGATAGATAGATAGATAGATAGATAGATAGATAGATAGATGGATGAATGAATGAATATGAATACTCTTGGTCAGATAGATAAATAGATAAGAACAGGCTGAGATAGATAGATAGATAGATAGATAGATAGATGATAGATAGATAGATAGATAGATATGAATACGCTTGTTTAGATAGATAGATAGATAGATAGATAGATAGATAGATAGATAGATATGAATACGCTTCCTTAGATAGATTGATAGATAAATAGATAGATATGAATACTCTTGCTCAGATAGATAGATAGATCGATAGATAGATAAATAGATAGATATGAATACTCTTGGTCAGATAGATAGATAGATAGATAGATAGATAGATAGATAGATGTACAGAGTGATATTTTAGATAGTTTATCTACAACTTACACCCGGTTGTATATCTTATACGAAAATTAGAAAAATTAAATTGAGAGACTTGTCGGTTGAATTTACCAAAATTTGTTAGTAAGAATTCTTGTTGGCTAAATATATTTCACACACACAAATAGACATACATACGGGAACACACACACACTGACACACACAGACACTCTTTTTTTTCGAGTACATTCGCCTGAGTGATCGACTTTACCATCCCTTTTGCAGACTGCTACTCAGGCACATTTCTGAGAAGATGAAATTCTGCATTGTCTTGTCTACTAAGGATTTTAATGCTAAATTAAAAAAATAACACCAACTTATTGCATTTTGTTTAGGAATTCACGGAAATTGATAACTTTGATTTTAAATCGAGTTGAAATTAGTTCCGAGTTGAAATTAGTTCCGAACTGAAATTAATTCCGAGTTAAAATTAGTTACGAGTTAATATTAGATCCAAGTTGAAATTAACTCCGAGGCGAAATTAGTTACGAGTTGAAATTAGTTCCAAGTTGAAATTAATTCCGAGTTGAAATTAGTTACGAGTTGAAATCACTAACGCGTTGAAATTAATTTCCAGTTGAAATTAGTTTCATTGTTGAAATTAGTTCCGGGTTGAAATTACTTCTGTCACTCGTTTGAAAAGGAAACTTGATAAACAAAAACAGAAATTATTTATGACTAATATAATATCTAATCTAATATTTTGTGGGTTTTTAGGAGCTCGTAAGTTTTATAATCCTTATATGCACACATTTTATATATTCCAAAGTTGTCATAGCCGGAGGTCACAGTGGGGACAAGTTCTCACTATCTATAAAATACTTGTTTGGAATGCATCTCAAATAGCCTCTGGTCATTATGTCCAGCTACAAGTGGGAGAATGTGGGAAGGCGGACAACTGGTGGCTGATAACCAGCTGCTTCGGTTAGATGGAGCTGTCGGAATATGATATGACAGTAAATCCAGACAGAAAACCCTGAATGTAGCTCCGAAGACAGGTGGCTCTCAACAGTGAAAACTTTACATCATGTCCTGCAGCCAAGCTGTGCCACAAAGTGTAATGCGATGTAATCCTTTGGATCATGTCCGTACGACCAGGAAGGGTGGCATGCCGTCTGGGCAGCTCACGGTCTCCATATACCATTGCCCAGGCCTACGCTCTAGAGAGATCACCCAGTTTTACTATCAAAGGACAGAATGGTGAGGAAACAGGGCGTGCTACCTTTATCTTGCGAGATAAACGGATGCCTACTTAAATAACTTTTACAGTAGCAAAGAATAATGTATTATAAACATTTGAATACCTTAAAAATAACTAAAATAAAAATGAAATACGGTCTCAAATGAATGACAAACGCAGGAATGAAATATAGCAAATAAATGTATTGACATAATAATACAATTGGTAATACGGTTAGTAGATCCAGAAATGCGGTTAGTAGCGATAATAATATATATACAGTGTGGGAAATTCGGTATCGAAGTATAACTTCCTTCTGAGTCTACGTGCTCGCAACTGTGACTCCTACAAAGCGTTTACCTCACACTATCACAGTATCACTTCCGACGACCGGGTATTCACCGGCAGCTGTACAAGTACACACTGGTCGAATCCACTTGTATGAAAAAGGGGTGGACCCCATAACACTATGTGTGATAACAAGTGCTAGAGAATCCATCTGTGAGTGTCAAAAGGAGGGAACCTGTACAATCACTTACCCTAGGGGCCATGAAGATTCATTGATAGTAAAGAAAAGGGAGCTCCAGTGAGATTCGATTATCCACGTCCTGAAGATGTAAATTATTATCACTGAACCTAATATAATCATTGTGAATTTGCCTCACGAATGTAAACAGTCATAAATTGTAGAAGTTCTACAAATATTATCGGCACAGGATATTCAATGATACACTGAATCGTTTTTCTTATCTTGATTAACATGTAATCTACTGAAGAAGGCTTTTAAGAAACACATTATTTTTATGTTCGTTTAAAATACAATCCATTAATCTCAAAGCTGATGATTGTATTGGTCAAGAAAGCAGCTTACTTTATCACACATTGTCGGCTACTCTCATCAGGTTTGACACTATTGGATGTCAATATTAATTTTCATTTATAACGTGACTAAAACGACAAATCAGCGGAAATCCTCAGTAATATCACGGAATTTTTCGTACTGGAACACGTGTTGATTTTGCAGCATGCATTTAGCAAATGGAAACATACACCTTCAATGCCCAGTAGAAAAAAAAAACAACAGAATGTCTAGCTTTGATTTACATGGAATCCATATAATGGTAATAATATTCAGGAAACATTTGGAATTCATTGACTGTGTAGCCAGTTCTTCTGTTGGCTGAAATTTATAATAGATTTTTATTAAAAGATTTTAAAAGACAATATATCTTTCATGTACACTTTTATCGGTCTTACCAGCAATGATAGGAGCTTTCTCTGTAAAATTATTTTTGAAAAAGTGTGCGACGTCAATATCTTGTGTGACGTCGTCCCCCCTGGTCGCAGCGTCGACTGTGTCGTTCGATCTCGTTCGCGGCGCCAATTGTGACGTGACGTGGTCCGGCGTTCTGATCCTATGATCACGACCAGTTGTGACGTCTTTGCCGCGGCGTCAGCTGTTCGCTCCTAGCTGCTCCAAGTGTGACGTTCTAACCCTTTGGTTAGATGAATACCAGCCTCGTTGTTCCCAACCCGCTTCCAACGCCTGGTTACCAGGGTAACTACACTGATCTCCGGTCTGTCTACCCACGTTGTGATTAGATCTTAGACAGACGGGATCAAACAGGGATTGGGCCGTATGCAAGCTGAGTCCAACGGGGGTGATAAACACACAAGAAAAATAAAAGTTCACAAGGTCCAAAATATTATTGAAAAAAGGTAACAACTTTTTATATCTAATTGTTCGTTACAAGATTATTCATACCTCCCGACCCGTTCTGTGGACCGTGGCACCACGCTTCTACCATACAACTTTAAGGCTTCGAGTTGCTTGCTCTCTAGAAATTTGCATTTCGGGGTGTGGTTTGGTTTCAACACTGGGCGCTCATCTCTACCTGTCGTTCACGGCTGATTTCTCTCGCCGTCCGTGGCTGCAACTAACTCTCTCTTCAGAGTCTGAATTATTGTTCACTCATCTCTGCCGTCAGTGCGCGAATTAACTTCTTCTCTTCGGCTTCGGTTGGACGAGCTTATTCACTTCGGCTTGGATTGGACGAGCTTATTCACTTCGGCTTGGGTTGGGCGAATTTCTTCACTTCGACTTGGGTTGGACGAATTTCTCTTCTTAGGCTTGGTTTGGTTCCAACTTCTCCACTTAGGCCAAACGGGCTGCTTCACTTTGGCTTCTCTTGCCGCAAAGGGGACTAATGAACAGGGCCCGCCATCCGCGCTGCAACTCCAACTTCATCCGCGGCGCAACTGCAACTTCATCCGCGGCGCAACTGCAACTAATTTCAGTCGGTTAGGGTCCTGCTTTTATTGAGGCAGTCAAAAACTGGGGTGGGTCTGTCGGCGCCAGGGTTTTCTTGATAATTCTAAAGACGTATTATTTCTGATTAGGGATTTTCCATTGTCGGTAACTTACTTTCACTCCTACTTCCTTACTGTGCCTCTTGGGGGGGGGCGTATACCCGCTTCCCCTGGTCCTTCGTATGTCAGGTGACCGCTCTCGACCAATGGGGTCCTGGTCGGGGGTCTCTCCTCCTCCCTCATGTATCATGTGACCGCCCTCGGCCAATGAAGCTCTGGTCGGTATCTTTCCTCCTTCCTTCGTGACGTCTTTAATCGGGCGTGGACAATCCGTGGCTTTGTTCTGGGGGAAGAAACACCTTGCTTAAAAAAACAAAATTTAAATTGTCCTTTTCGTACGAAAATGACGATCCCGGTTTCTTTTACACGTGGTATCTGTTAAAACAGCCTATCGCTAATTGGATACGATCTAAGAAAGAATTTCTTAGACCTGTCGGCGGCAATCTGAACGCAACAAAATATTTCATTCTCTTCCGGCCGATAATAAAATCTGTATTATCTCAAAAAGCGACATCACCTTGGGTGGCTGTACTTTCAATTCTGGTATAGTCTGGGTTCTTGTATTAATGCTTTGTTTCATATCTTAGATACACTTCCCCATCTGTTACCTATCATCTCAATGACACCCTTTTCATTTGTTACTTATCAATATTTTTTTTCATTGTCCCTAAAATTTTATTTCTTCAACCAAATTGATAACAAACTTCCATTTTTCGTGGACACCGAAGTAGGTCAGGTGCTTGACCTGATATTTTGACATCTGATATATGCCAGTCGAGCCCGTGTGTTTTCTTACGACCTGGTTTCGTATTATTTATTTTTTCTCTTTTCTTTCCTTTTTCTCTTCCTTTCTTTCTTTCTCTCAGATCGTCTGAATGCAAAGAAAAATTATTCTCAACCCCGAAAATTTTTTTAGCTCTAAATAATTCTCAAATGGTTAACAAACCGAAAAAACAAATCATATATTTATGAACATCTCTTTTCAGCTTTCTAATTATGCATGGTGCCACACTTGTTTATGCCATTATTTTCTCTTCCAGATACATATGTCATTTTAGTATTTGTTCTTTTTGACAGTCAGAAAGTGCTGGGGTCTCCGTTATTTGGTATGGTTCTTTAGCTCCAGTTAAAAAACGTTGGAATATGGATGGTCCTCGCTAAGACCTACAGGTTTCATACTTTCAAAGCCATTCTTAATCAGTGTTCTTAAATGGCTACTGAATATTGGTGACAGTTTTGATATTTCTGAATGTATCTGGAGCCATACATAACATCCATATTTAATTCTCGATCTGACGAGGCTATTTAAGTACATGACTAGAAGTTTTAGGTCAATGTTTTGGTTTTGAAGCCATTTGTAGTGTTGGCTGAAACTACTTCAAACACAACCTATTCTACGTTCAATTTCATTATTTCATATTTGTCTTGGCAACTGCACACACCACTGCAAATGAAGTGTTTAATATTTACTAATTCCACATTTTGAAGAGTCATGATGCATTCAGCGTATATACTGCTTTCGTTCCAGTCATAGTTACTTTCTTGTAAAGGTATATCTTGAGTTTTATTTCTTGAAATAATTGGTAGAGAATATTGATCGTTTTAGAGATCATTATATAAATAGCCATGCCGTCAAGATAGCACACAGCACACCTCCATCCTGTGTATATTAGGGCAGATTGATTTTCCCTTTGTTCTGCAATCATTGTGAAAGCTGTGGATTGATGTGTTAAGTACTAACACTAAGTATTAGATTTATATGTTTCATCAATTTTTGAGCATTTAATTTTAAATATCATCTGAAAACGTGTACAGAAATATCTAATTTCTTCAGGTTTTGTTTTCTTAAAACTGACTCCAAAGTTTTACTATTTCAATAATAATTTAAAATAAACTTGATATATTTCGTATTAGATGCATTGAATTGAAAATGCATTAAAACCAGAATTATAATTATGAATTACCACAAGCAAAAACTGCATTTTTTTTTCTATATCCGATAAGTAAAAAATTGTGTAAAATGTAAAAGATTACAAAAAAGGGTTCTCAATGAATTTGATCATTTGTTAGATTATAATTGATAAAAAAATAGATATAAGTGTATTTTAAGACATTTTTTTATGTTTATACGTTCTTTTTACAGATACAAATATTTAGGTAAATGTTCTGTTTATAATAAACAGTATTAACTACATTTACCGGCTAGAATATCTGAGAAATTTTCTTAGAAAATATGCGTCCTCGGACAGGAATCCAACCCGTATCCTATACGGAACCGTCATATAGCCTGACGTGCTTTTACCGATTTAGCCACAGAGGAGCGTTTCGGTTTGCAAGGTCGATTTTAGTGTTTTTAAAATACATATTCTCTATGATTTTCTCAGGTACATTCATATCAGCTCGATGCGTATCCAAGTGTAAACAAATGACGTCACACATCATGAAATGGACAAAGTCCGACAATCATTTTAAGACATTTTTTTATGTTTATACGTTCTTTTTCTATGAAAATTTCTCGGACATTCAGGCCAGTAAATGTGATTAATACTGTTTATTATAAACAGAGCATTTATTTAAATATTTGTATATATAAAAAAGAACATAAAAACATAAAAAATGTCTTAAAATAAAAGCTTATATAACAACATAATACTGCTGGGAACAAATTATAAAAAAATGTTTTAAATTTGCATTGTTTATTCAAAACCACACTAAAAATACTGTATTGTATAGCATATAATATCATAATATAGATAAATTGTTCAATATAATTTCCTATTGAATTAAATAAAGGTCTTATTTGATGACTCAATGATTTAATAATAATGTAATGGTGCCAGGCATCCTGTCCATATACAGTTTCTAAAGTTCAGTAACTTATATATTTCATATGACTGTGGTTTTCCCTGGTCACCGGAATTAAATTCCAATGCAAGGATTTTGAACTTAAACTTAATCATATAAACTGGTTTCCTCAAGAGAGAGTAAGATTTTGGAAAAGAATATTTACTGTCATGATCATATCAAATCGCAAGTTTCAAATTGAGAGTAATACTATGTTTCCTAAATCGACCTGCTCGAGTGTACATCGTCATCAGAAGGGAGATTCCTCAAAATATTTTGATCGCAATGAAGCCAAATTCAGTCTGCGAGGTTTGCTAGAGGATGAGAAAATAAACTGCTTGTCTTCAGTGGCAACTCAGAAGAGTTTTTTTTTTTTTTAATAGTTCCATTTTTAAGAGTATATTATCAAAATCTATTCTGTAAAATTGGAACAAACATAGTTGAAGCTCGGACACGACAATCCACGTACACACAATGGAAATCTTCTTTATTCTCTACGTAATTCAGGATTGAAGACATGAAATACCACTCAGACAACTTCTTCTGTAAAACGTGTGGAACAAATTCTCAAGACGAGAACTCAGGAAAGACAAACATAAAACAATAGAAAGGCAAAGATAGGGCGTAAAAAGATAGAGAAGCAAGGCATTTATACAAAGATAGAAAATAGAAATTTCTAACAAGGAAGAGAAAAAGAAAAAGATAAGGCTTAGAACTTAAGAGAAGCAAGGCATTTAAACAAAGTTGGAACTTACAAGATAGGACAAACATAGAATATAAAAAAGACATTGATAGGACGTAGAAGGCTTTGAAACAAAGTATTTGAAGATATTAAAATGTCAAATATAGAACACAGAAAGACAACGATAGAACGTAGAAAAAAAAGCGGCCCATATAACGTAGTAAAGTCAAGCATAGAACATGAAAAAGTAGATAGTATATATATATATATATATATATATATATATATATATATATATATATAGATAGATAATAGATAGATAGATAGATAAACCTGGATAGGTTCGTCTGGCTCCCTAGGTTTGACTAGGTCTACTCTACGGTTGTATTGAACTCTTTTGTTAGTTAGTTGTTTACTCGTGTCGGGGTTTTTTCTTTGGGCTTTAAACCTGTATTTGTGCGATTTTTTCGACAGACTTTCATGTTCCTGGCTCTTTCTTTTTTTAAAACCATTTTTCTGGATAAGATTGATTTGATTATTGGCAAATCAAAAATTCGAAAATTTTTCGAGACAGTATAGTTACCTATATCTATATATATATATATATATATATATATATATATATATATATATGTGTGTGTGTGTTTGTGTGTGTGTGTGTGTGAAAAGTTTATATAAATATAAATAAAATATATATGTATAATTATTTATATATTATATATTGGTACTTATTAAAGCGCTCAATATCAGAGATAGAACTAACATATTTGGTTGGATAGATGTGAGTTCACATCTATCAACCAAAATATATATATATATATATATTTTCATTAAATAATATAGAGAAGTGTTGGCTATTTAATTTATGTAAATTCTTTTCATAACGTCTGATAAGCTTAATAACATTATCATTAAACGAAGAAAGAAAATCACAATTTTGATACATATTTTTTAATCCAATCTAAGCTTTCGGCTTACATAAGCCATTATCAAAGATGACAATTACTGTACAATATATTAAGCAATACACGGACAAAAATGTGATGATAGTCTGTTTCTGTTTCCATGGATGATTTCCAATCAACGATAAGCACGTGCATATAAGACGCTGGAAGCGAAAATCGCACTGCAGCTCATGACGTCACATATGGCCACGCGAGAGTGAATTCGAGAAGTATTAAGTATGGGAAGCCGTTGATATAAACCAGTGGCTTCTATTACCAGTTATAGACATTTAAGGATATTTGTGGAGATTTGATAGTTTATTTTGTTTAGGTTAGGTTTCAACTGTTTTATGTATATAGCTTCAAGAATTTTTAGTTTTTGCTTATTGTTTTCATGTTTAAGTATAATTGTGTTTTAGACAATATATGTGTGTGTTTGTGTGTGTGTATGTTAAAAAAAGCAAACACAGAACTTAAAAGTCTGTCATTGTACATAGGTAGACAGGAAACTGTAGAATTTCCATAGACATAAATACAATCCCAGAAATACGAAAAAAACATAGGTATAGAATTTATCAAGACAATTCCGTCAGAGAAGAAATAATCGAATGTTGAAGGAAATAAAAATCATTTGAATGAAAAATAAATAAAAAGACCAACGAAGGCCCGGTATGGATAAAAAAAAAAAAAAATTCTAATAATGAAAAGAGGGGGAGAAAAACAGAACACCGAAAAGTTTTAAAATCTTGTAAAATACATCAGTCCAGTAGAAAAATGTCAATCATGGTGACGTATACCTGAAAATTATTTTCTTCTTTCGAATTTGTGCAGCCCAACACTTCTGCATTCTTTGCTTGTCCTAATATGGTCGCTTCCATGCCGCATGAGATCGGAGCGACCTCCCCCACCCACCAACCCCCAGCCAGCACACACACGCACACAGCAACATCCATATTTACTTGTAATTTTTGTAATTTTTTATATGTTGACAGTTCTAAGGACTGGAACAGATTTTGAAAGGCAATCTTCACCCAGGGTTTGTGACAGAAAGAATATAGGAGAGACAAGAAAAGCAAATGATAGGAAAGGATTCATCTAAAATAAAAAATAAAAAAAAAGGTAGATCTCTAAGTGAAATGTAAGTAATGAAAAAGTAGAAAAAAATATCGGAAAAAATATTTTGAAAAAAATCCGAGCTGGGAAAATATCAGTGTAAACTTAAAAATACATAATGGAAAACAATGGTATGACATTGAAATAAGTTGCAGGACAAATATATATATATATATATATATATATATATATATATATATATATATATATATATATATAATAAAACAATATTTTATTCAAAAAAACTGAAAAAATGTTTTTAGCAATAGAAAACTGCAAAATAAAATCATATCCGGTTGGGTAGAATGAGATGTGAACGTATTAATATATTTATGTACTTAGATATCTATATATTTATTCGTTGATAGAACGAGCACCATGTCGTAGATTTTATAGCCTGTGTGACTGAAAGAGGAAAAAAAATCACACGAAAATCATTTTATATCTATCTATCGACATTAGAAATATATATATCTTATTTACAAATGAAAATTTCCAATTTAGTCAAAAGCTAGAAAGAAATATCAAAAAAGATTTTTCAATTTTCACTCAGAAATCTCATCAGTAGAATTCACTTCTCACTGAGAACAATAATTCATCTCTGACACATGTATACACATCCATACCTACCTATGTTTTTAATGAAATCATCAACCGACTTTTTAGAACTATACCGACATTGCCTAAAATCTGAATACAGGCTCTGTTAAAATGTTGAATTCGAATCGGTATCGTTCTTTTGGGATAAAATACACATTATATTGATAATTTCGAATAAGATCATAAAAATAACATATCAAAGAATACAATCATATATATATATATATATATATATATATATATATATATATATATATATATATATATTATAAATTAATTGACTGTAAATTTACATCGAGCACTATTTTGTAAAAATAAAAATATCTGTAAGAACACCGGATTATATCTTACTGTTCTTTCTTTATATATATATATATATATATATATATATATATATATATATATATATTATTTATATTAACATAAATATGTTATAAAATCACTACAAAAAAATTTTGTTTACCTGGTGTTTTATCATGTTGAATGTATAGAATAAAGGTTTTAAAAGTTTTCAAAAATAAACCACCCTCGTAGAAACTCTGTTACATGAGCTGGAAAGACCAAAATACAAGTATGAACTTATATATATATATATATATATATATATATATATATATATATATATATATATATATATATATATATATATATATATATAATAAGTATTTCTTACGTATGAACGAGTTTACAAATTTAAGTAATATATATATATATACGACGTGACTGGAAAGGAACTCCCTATTGTATCTATGTCAGACACGGCATCTCCCGTCTTGTAAAAATTATAGACGAGAGAGTTCATTATGCATAAAATAGGGTGTTAATTAATCATTTTGTAACAATAAATATTATTATAATTGTTTTGTCATCAATACCAAGTGGAAGAATAAGACCTGCAGCCATTGGAATAATAATTTTGCAATTCCAAAGAATTGGAACGAATATGAACACGTTCGGATTGAATGCAAAAATGTTAAAATACATAGAATAAAATCATAGGTGAAAAAATACTTCGAACAACTATCGGATACGCATCGAAGAATGACTGCAAATGAACTGTAAATAAAATTCCATCATTACACATTAAATAATTTGAAGACCTTCGTAGAACTGCAGCAATTTCGTGATTTAGCAAAAGATGGGGACGATTACGGAGGACTAATAAGAATTATTTATAATGGTGTTGAAGGTGATTACACTGATTTGCATTGTATCTTCAAATCGCAAATGTTCTGATGATGATGATGATGATGATGATGATGATGTTGAAACAGGCAACAGGTACCTAAATGCAAAATGTCTTATGCATACATACTGGCCGGCTAAGGAACATGTGATTGCATTAATTAATGTGCTTTTATCTTTTCACAGCATCAAATATGAATTATCATCTGAGTTGAAACGACATGCCGCGATTTTTGTGATTGACGCCAAGCAGAGCGATGTTGAGAATGCGCGCTTTTGGTGGAGAATTAACCAGATCATTTGTCCACAAATATCGGGCAGTGTTGGAAGCCTCCAGCTGGGATGTGTCGCTTGTCACAAGGTGCAAAAAGCACTCACTCACAGAACCCAGTTTTTTCCAGTGGGTCATTTTATTTATACAACTTCGGGTGTTAATTATTTGTGTGTTTTAATATATATATATATATATATATATATATATATATATATATATATGTATGTATGTATGTATGTATGTATGTGTGTGTGTACGTGTGCATTATAAAAGATTGGAAATATCGTTTTAAAACTAGAACCCCCTGAAGACTTGAAATTTTACTAGAAGCTTCGAAGTCGGGATAAAAATTGCTTATTATTATATAAATTATATATAAATATATATATATATATATATATATATATATATATATATATATATATATATAAATAATTAATTTTAATGTAATTCTTTAGATGATATTGCCAAAATTTTTAGCAAGGAAATTTTCTTATTTTGCCAATGTCTTCTTACCTGAAAATGACGGTGTAGTCTTCTTACGTCACTACGATATACACCGTTCATATTTACATAGTCTCTGTCCGATGGTCATAAATTTAACAAAATTGAACCAATATATATACATCTATATATATATATATATATATATATATATATATATATATATATATATGGATATGCAGAAATAGCCCTCGAATGTTTATACAAGAGAGAGGTCAAGAATTATATCCATTGTCTTCGTAAACCAAGATTTCCGATGGGCTTCCATGGTTCTATCATGCTCACACATATCAGTTGAAGGCAATATGTTTAATGAAATCAGGACTGCTAAAATGAAATTTGGACATTTATGATGCCGATAACCACGGGAATACTACGTGCATAGTGCGTAAGAAACTGTCGTTGAAGAGTGAATGCATACCGTATTATTATCAAAGAATATGATATAAATGCTCTGCGATTGGGGAAGTGAGCTTTTTCCCCAGTC